CTAAGACTAAATAGCTGTCACCAGAGCAAATAAAACCACAGTAAAGGAAGACCACTAAATACTAACCAAATGAAAATTAAATCCGGTACCCACAAAGTCAGTCAAGGGATACACAAAGAGTACAAAATATGACACCTAACATATAAAGAATGGAGGAGGAAGAAAAAGAAGGGCAACCAAAAAGAATTATTAGACTGTGTTTATAATAGTGTAATAAGTGACTTAAGGTAAACTGCTAGATAGTAAAGAAGCTGTCCTTGAACCTTTGGTGACCACAAATCCAAAGCCTGCAATGGCAATAAGTACATATCTACCAATAATCATCCTAAATGTAAATGGACTGAATGTACCAATCAAAAGACACAGAGTTACAGAATTTATAAAGAAGCTAGACCCATCTGTATGCTGCCTACAAGAGACTCACTTCAAACCCAAAGTCATATACAAACTAAAAGGGAAGGGATCGAAAAAGATATTTCATGCAAACAATAGGGAGAAAAAAGCAGGTGTTGCAGTACTTGTATCAGACAGATAGACTTCAAAACAAAGATAGTCACAAGAGACAAAGAAGGACATTACATGATGATAAAGGGGGAAGTCCAACAAGAGGATATAACCATTATAAATATCTATGCACCCAACACGGGAGCACCTACATATGTGAAACAAATACTAACAGAATTAAAGGGGGAAATAGACTGCAATGCATTCATTTTAGGAGACTTAAACACACCACTCACTCTAAAGGATAGAAAACAAGTAGGCACAAATAGGCAATGAACAAAACATTAGAGCAGATGGACCTAACAGACATCTATAGAACACTCCATCCAAAAGCAGCAGGATACACATTCTTCTCATGTGTACCTGGAACATTTTCCAGAATAGACCACATACTAGGTCACAAAAAGAGGCTCAGCAAGTTAAAAAAGATTGAAAATGTACCAACCAACTTTTCAGATCACAAATGTATGAAATTAGAAATTGTACAAAGAAAACAAAAAGGCTCACAAACACATAGAAACTTAACAACGTGCTCCTAAATAATCAATGGATCAATGACCAAATTAAAAGAGATCAAGCAATATAAGGAGACAAATGAAGACAACAGCACAACACCCCAACGTCTGTGGGACATAGTGAAGGCAGTTCTAAAAGGAAAGTATATAGCAATCCAGGCCTATTTAAAGAAGGATGAACAATCCCAAATGAACAGTCTAACTTCACAATTGTTGCAACTGGAAAAAGAAGAACAAACGAAGCCTAAAGCTAGTAGAAGGAGGGACATAATAAAGATCAGAGAATAAATAAATAAAATTGAGAAGAATAAAAACAATAGAAAAAAATTAATGAAACCAAGAGCTGGTTCTTTGAGGAAATAAACAAAGTAATTATACCCCTAACCAGACTTATCAAGAAAAAAAGAGAATCTACACACACAAATAGAATCAGAAATGAAAAAGGAAAAATCACTATGGGCGCCACTGAAATACAAAGAATTATTAGAGAATACTATGAAAAGTTGTATGCCAAAAAACTGGATAACCTAGAAGAAATGGACAACTTTCTAGAAAAATACAACCTTCCAAGACTGATCCAGGAAGAAACAGAAAATCTGAACAGACCAATCTCCAACAATGAAATTACATCAGTCATCAAAAAACTATCCAAGAACAAAACCCCTTTACCATTGAATTTTATGAGACATTTAGAAAAGACATAATATGCATTCTCCTTAAAGTTTTCCAAAAAATAGAAGAGGAGGGAATATTTCCAAACTTATTCTATGAAGCCAGCATCACTCTAATAACAAAATCAGGCAAAGACCACACACAAAAAAGAAAACTACAGACCAATATCCCTGATGAACATAGATGCAAAAATGCTCAACAAAATATTAGCAAACTGAATATAAAAATACATAAAGAGAATCATGCATCATGATCAAGTGGTATTCATCCCGAATGCAAGGGTGGTACAACATTTGAAAATCCATCAACTTCATCCACTATATCAATAAAAAGAAGGACAAAAATCACATAATCATCTCTATAGGTGCTGAAAAAGCATTTGACAAATTTCAACACCCACTCATGATAAAAACTCTCAACAAAATGTGTATAGAACGCAAGTACCTCAACATAATAAAGACCACATATGACAAACCCATAGCCAACATCATACTTAACACTGAAAAGCTGAATGCTTTTCCTCTAACATTAGGAACAAGACAAGGATGCCCACTCTCTCTACTTTTATTCAACAAAATAGTGGAGGTCCTAGCCACGGCAATCAGAAAACACAAAGAAATAAAAAGCATCCAAATTGGTAAGGAAGAAGTTAAACTGTCACTGTTTACAGATGACATGATATTGTACATAAAGAACCCTAAAGAATCCACTCCAAAACTACTAGGACAAATATCTGAATTCAGCAAAGTTGTAGGATACAAAATTAACACACAGAAATCTGTTGCTTTCCTATACACTAATGATGAACTAGCAGAAAGAGAAATCTGGAAAACAATTCCATTCATAATTGCATCAAAAAGAAAAAAACACCTGGCTGCTCCGATGGTAGTGGGTTATCAGAACTTATTAACATTAGTGACACTAAAGTTAGTATATAGCCCCCCACTGGTATATTTGGCTGGCTTTAACAAAATAAATAAATAAAATAAAAAATAAAAAAATAAAAGAATAACACACCTAGGAATAACCCTAACCAAGGAGGTGAAAGACCCATACCCTCAAAACTACAAGACATTCTTGAGAGAAATTAAAGAGGACACTAATAAATGGAAAGTCATCCCATGTTCTTGGGTAGGAAGAATTAATATTGTCAAAATGGCCATCCTGCCTAAAGCAATCTACAGATTCAATGCAATCCCTGTCAAAATACTGACAGCATTCTTCAATGAACTAGAAAAAATAGTTCTAAAATTCATATGGAACCATAAAAAACCCCAAATAGCCAAAGCAATCCTGACAAGGAAGACTAAAAGCAGGGGGATTATGCTCTCCAATTTCCAGTAATCAAGACAATTTGGTACTGGCACAAGAACAGACTCATTGATCAATGGAACAGAATAGAGAGCCCACACATATATGACCAATTAATATATGATAAAGTAGCCATGAACATACAATGGGGAAATGACAACCTCTTCAACAACTGGTGTTGGCAAAACTGGACAGCTACATGTATGAGAATGAAATTGAATTACTGTCTAACTCCATACACAAAAGTAAACTCAAAATGGATCAAAGACCTGAATGTAAGTCATGAAACCATAAAAGTCTTTGAAGAAAACATAGGCAAAAGTCTTTTTTTTAATTTTTTAATTTTTTAATTTTGGTATCATTAATCTACAATTACAGAAAGAACATTATGTTTACTAGGTTCCCCCCTTCACCAAGTTCCCCGACATAGCCCTTCACAGTCACTGTCCATCTGCATAGTAAGATGCTGTAAAATCACTACTTGTCTTCTCTGTGTTGCGCAGCCCTCCCTGTGCCCCCCACGCACTATACATGCTAATCGTAATGCCCCCTTTCTTTTTCCCCACCCTTATCCCTCCCTTCCCACCCATCATCCCCAGTCCCTTTCCCTTTGCAAAACTCTCTTTAATATAAACATGAGCAACTTTTTCATGAACATATCTCCCTGGGCAAGGGACACAAAAGCAAAAATGAAAAAGTGTGACTATATCAAACTAAAAAGCTTCTGTACAGGAAAGGACACAATCACTAGAACAAAAAGGCATCATATGGTATGGGAGAATATATTCATAAAACACCAATAAGGGGTTGACATCCAAAATATATAAAGAGCTCATGCACCTCAACAACCAAAAAGCAAATAACATGATTAAAAAATGGGCAGAGGATCTGAAAAGACAGTTCTCCAAAGAAGAAATTCAGATGGCCAATAGGCACATGAAAAGATGCTCCACATCGCTAATCATCAGAGAAATGAGAATCAAAACCACAGTGAGGTATCACCTCACACTATTTAGGATGGCCAACATGCAAAAGACAAACAATAACAAATGCTGGCAAGGATGTGGAGAAAGGGGAATCCTCCTACACTGCTGGTGGAAATGTAAATTAGTTCAACCATTGTGGAAAGCAATATGGAGGTTCCTCAAAAAACTAAAAATAGAAATACCTTTTGACTCAGGAATTCCACTCCTAGGAATTTACCCTAAGAATACAGAATCCCATATTCAAAAAGACATATGCACCCCTATGTTTATCACAGCACTATTTACAACAGCCAAGATATGGAAGCAACCTAAGTATCTATAAGTAGATGAATGGATAAACAAGATGTGGTACATATACACAATGGAATATTATTCAGCCATAAGAAGAAAACAAATCCTACTATTTGCAACAAGATAGATGGAGCTAGAGGGTATTATGCACAGTAAAATAAGCCAGGCAGAGAGAGACAAGTACCAGATGATTTCACTCATCTGTAGAGTATAACAGCAAAGCAAAAACTGAAGGAACAAAACAGCAGCAGACTCACAGAACCCAAGAATGGACTAACAGTTACCAAAAGGAAAGGAACTGGGGAGGGTGGGTGGGTAGGGAGGGATAAGGGGATTAAGGGGCTTTATGATAAGCACACATAATGTAAGGTGTAAATGGGGAAGAAAGTATAGCACAGAGAAGACAAGTAGTGACTCTGTAGCATCCTACTATGCTGATGGACAGTGACTGTAATGGGGTGTGGGGAGGACTTGATAATAGGGGAGAATGTAGTAACCACAATGTTGCCCATGTGATTGTCTATCAATGATACCTTAATAAAAAAAATTCTAAGAGGTAGTTGAAATTATGGCAAGTGGGTAGATGAGAGGGGCCTTCGTGGGGTGGCTGGATGCTGACACTGTGGGAAGTTGATGGTGATTGCTGATTTTAGTTTTATTTTGTTGGATGGGCATTTTCCTCCACAAATGGAACATAGTTCTTCTATTCTTTTCATTCTAGTTGCCACTTCATCTTCACCAGTGCAGACAGCAGAAACCCAGCCTACCACACTGCAGGGACCCAGGACTCTGCAACCTACCGATTCACCACTGTACTCTTGCCCAACAGGTAACTTCTTTTTTTTTTCCTGATTACCTGGGAGCATTCAGATTTTGATAATCATTGTCACATTGTTAAGAGCACATATTCTGGAATAAGACAGATCTGACCTGAGTGTGATCAACTACGTGACCTGAACAAATAAAAATGTCTTACCCTCTCTGCACTTGTTTTTATCATTTGTAAAATAGATGAAATACTACCAATCTTGTAGAATGCTTGAGAGGATTAAATGAGATAAAGAGCCTGGGACATAGTTAAAAGGGGGTCAGTAATAGAGACCATAGCCACTAGGACTCTTAGTTACAACACCTGAGGCCATATACCTGGCTGGCAGGTAGTAGCTTTTATGATTTGGGAGCATCTACATAAATATCACTGTTTTTCTAAATCAAGTGAGTCAGTCTTGACTCCAGACTTATTCCGGGACTTGATTCCTTGGGCCAGAGTCTTAAAGCAATTAAATCCAGTCCTCTGGCATCCAGACCAAACTGGGCACCCGTATTACTGCTTTGCCGAAGGCCCAGTCCCTAATACAACCAGGAGGTTCCCCTGAGGCCTTGTGAAACTTGCACACATACACTTTGAGATGTTGAGGACATGAACACTATCACCAAAGAGGTGTGTCTTACTGAGATCCTACTGTTCCCCTCAAACATTTTTCCCCTGTGTCCGCATTCTGGGCTGGGGTTCTCTGTCTGTATTGAAGAAGATGAAGTAGTTACTGTAATAAAAACAAAAAGAATATGACCTCTACTCTTCTGATATGTAAGACTAACCTGTCTTTACTGTGGTGGGTGGAAAGAAGTGATGCCGAATCCTGTCACCTTTCCCAGATAACTCTGTTTCCTAGAGTGGTATGTTTGTGGAGGGCTGTGTGCTGAACCCCTTTGTATGCAGAGCTGGCTTACATGTCCTTGCACTTGTGCTAAAACCAAGCAAGGTCAAGCTTTGCAAGACTCCTCCTGTAGATGACTCACTGTACTCAAGACTTGCCAATCTGTAGGGGACCCCCAGTACAGTTTACCTTTTGTCAATCATTCCTGGAAGCTGGTTAATTTAAGATGGCCCTGCAGCGAGATTCACAGAGGGACCTATTCAGTCAGGATTAGATAATGGTGACATTTGGTTTTGAAACTGGAGTCCTTAGTGTGAGCTGTTTCTGGGCACAAAAACAAAGTGAAAATAGACTTAAAAAAATAATAACAACAAGGTAACAGCAGTAGGAGCAGCTGCACCCCACATTTACAGGGTGTGAGAAGGAAGATAGTAGGAGTAGGGAATCATTTTCTAAAATGTCATGTCACTAAAACCTGGTCAAGGTAGAGCTTTCCAGAGTGGAACAGACATTGGAGCAGCTGTGTCCCCGAGACTCATGTGATTATAGCTGTCTTGGCAGTATATCTGAGGCTCTTGAGCCAAATCCTCACAGAAGCAATGAATTTGGGTCTGGAAGCAATTTTGGTCATCACGGCAGCCACCCACCTTCAATAGATGTATGTGCCAGGAAACGGTCGTATGTTATCTCATTTAATTCTCTCAAGGCACGCCTTATTCACTGCCACTGCTAGACTGGGAAGGACCTGTAGTTCTGCTGTGGAGACACCCAGGTACGAGTTCAACTGCCAGTTACAAGCTGTGTGCCCACGGGCAGGTAGCTGCATTCTTTTCTGGATGTTAATGATAATCAGAGGACATGATGTTTGGAAAGTACATTGTATAGTATTTCTCCCCCCACTGTTCCTTCCATTATAACATGATAATAATAATAGCTAATATTTACCTAATATGGTGTTAAGTCCTTTACATGCATCATCTAATTTAAAACTTCATGAGATGGGTACTATGAATAGCTTATAGTTCAAAGTTACCCCACCTAGAAATATATATATGTACATATACACACACATCCATACATACATGTGTTGCAAAGGACTGTGTTCAAGGTCACATTGTGAAGGAACACTGTCAGCATTGAACTCAAATTTTATCTATTTTACTGTTTTTACTGCATCATCCAGTTCTGTACCTCAAAAGACATGTTAAGGTCAAAACAAGTTGCAAACAGAGCTCAGATTGTAGATATTGTCTAAACCTAGATATGGCCTTTAGCTCTCTAAGCAGCAGTCTCAGGATATGTAAAACGTAAACATGGCAGTAATATAAAACCTCTGGGGAATATGGTTAGTTCAATTCCATTCGCACTGAGGTTCCACAGCTTTGTCAATAGGTAGGGAATTTCATAGATCTGTAGTATTCATGGTTGGGAGTGCAATATGTGTGTGGTGGTTATGAACAGAAGCTCTTGTCATTTGTTGGTGTTGAAACTTATTTAACCATTCCAAGTCTGTTTCCTCATCTCTAAAACAGGATTAAGGAAATTGTTGTAAGGATGTAAATTGCTTAGTGTATGGTAGATTCTCAGTAAAAAGAGAATTCTGTATTTGACCTAGAGCTGCCTAGGAAGGCCAGCAGAATATGTCTTATATCACAAAGTAGATATTTCAAAACACTCTTTAAAGTTTGAGCATTCAGAACTTAAAGGCATAGTATTCTTTTTTATTAGGATTTTAGGTGGTGAAAGATATATTGGTCTTACAGCTGATATAACAGATATTTTCTAAAGTACTCCTAAAGTACAGTCTCGGTACATTGGCATATAAGGTCAGAGTTATATGCCACCTGTTTTGGATATCTTAGTACATTTTACTCATATTCTGAAGATAAAACCCATGTAATATCCATTCTGAATACAGTGATTCTGACCTTTGGAAGTGCATACGGCCTCTGGGCACTCATTGACAGGCTTTTAGCTGGCATGAAAATACTGATTACTTGCCGTTAAGTGGCATTCTTAGCCTGATTCCAAGAATGGGCCTCTGTGACTCTTCTAAAATTACAGATAAAACTTTGGGTACATGCATTTTTTTTCCCATAAAGGAGAGGAAAAAAAGAGTCCATTTTTGAGGGGTCCATGACAAAATGGTTAAGAAATACAACCTTACAGGATCAATTAATAAATGTTACTAACTTGATATGAGTCTTGCAATGCCTGAAGCATTTGGCCATATTACTATTCAACTTTTCATTCATCACCAGAAGGCAATGTGAATATATTTAGTGTCTGCAGTGAAAATTCAATATTTTTTGTAATTCTAATTAATTTTCCTTTTGTTGAGCAGATGGCAGTGGTACTGTGACACAGTCTTCAGATGGCCTTTGGCATAGCAATCAAACTGTAAGCATATTCCTTTCTGCGTCTCCCTGAAAGCAAGTTATATTTTTGGATTACTTCTGTAAGACTGGTGTACAGATTTATTCTTTCTAGTTAAAAAGAAAAAAAAAGGGAAGAAAAGAATTTGACTTTTAAATTGGGATGCTTTAATTAATTTGGAAAGATCACGTAGGTGACCAGTTGGCTAGAGTCTTGTTTGCCTGGTGATATTTTATTCTACATGCATGGGCGTGGGCATGTGTGCACACAAGCAAACTTTCTCCAGGTCAAAAACCAGAAAGAATGAACTACTCAAGGAGAGTGAGGTAATACAACATTCCAAGGAAGCCTTTCATGGTCATTAGGGAATAACACTCTTTGAGTCAGTGTGGTGGAGTGGAAGCCACCCCAAACAAACATGTTATGTAAGTGAAAGTGCAGTTATTTAAACGCCAGCCCCTTGCTATCCTTTTCTACCCCAACTGCCATCCTGTGTATATAGTTTGAGGCTGCTTCTGAGTTTTTCTATACCTAAGGCTCCCCATGTGATGACTTGTTAAGGTATTAACATCTTAAACAACTTTGTGATTTTGAAAGATGTTCTCATACTTTTTCCACAGTGAGCTTGAGAAAATGCTAAGGGGCTCTAGTCTCAGGATGCTCATTAAAGCCTCGTCTTTGCAAATAAGTTAGACAAATTTATCAATAGGACCTTTTCATTTGGCCCCTCTGGGAGAAACAACTTTTCTTTTAGTATGTACAAATAACTTAGAAGCAACAGACAGTTTGAGGTGCGAGAATAATCCTTCTGGTTGCACATGAGAAAAGGCCAACATAGCCATTGTAAGAGAAATTCAAGCTCGTGCAAGGTAGGGTATTTAACTAGGATAAAAAAGCTTTGTGTTGTACACCTTAGTGACAATGAGAGACTACATAGGAGTGATATTAAAATTTTTAACAACTTGTATGGCATAGGCACTGACTAATCTGATGGATGTGGGCTGATGACCCTGTATGTTCTAAATATCAGAACTGCCACTATGTAAATAATTATTCTCTTGCTATATGGCCAGACTCATGCTGGACTTTTTTTAGAAAAATATTCTAAATGGTGAGATTGTTCTTGATTTCAGTTACCTGCAGGAAAGGTACATTTAGCAGTAAAGTAGAAGCAATTTAGAAGCAAATTCATGATAGTCAGTAGTGAACTCACAGACTTTTGTCCCTTGATGCTGAGGGTGTCAAGTTGTCTTCCAGGTATTTTGAAATCTTGCAACTTTCTGGACTCTATATTAAGGAGAGAATTGAACAAATATATGAAGGTGTATGAGAAAAGATGTAATTGCTGCTATTTATAACCATGAAAATATTCTTAACAACCTAAATGTTCATGAGTAAGGGATTCATTATGTAGTGAATTAAGCATACCCACATATTACCACTAAGAATGTAATCACTGCAGTGCATTTACTGACATGGAAAGACAGTTACTATTGATTGTTAAGTGAAAAAGAAACCTTTAAAATGGTACCTATACTGTAGTATATATGAAATATAGTAATTGTTAAGAAAAACACTAGAAGGAAAAGATTCTAGAAGAGGGTATAATGAAAAATGGTAATGGTGGTTGTTTCTGGATGTTAGGATTATGATTGATTTTAGTTTTACTATCTTTATGCTTAGCTGCACATTCTAAGATGAACATGCAGTTTTTATGTAATATAATAGTTGGAAAAATGAAAGCAAAGGCTACCTTCTACACCCCACATTCCATCTAACCACTTTACCTTCCATCAGTAAGGTAATAACTTGGCTTTTCCCTGGCAGCCACTGGCCATTACCCCTTTAAGCAAGGATGGCTGAAATGTAGGTTACCTTCCTCTATGTTCCTCCTAGTGTTTATCGGGAAGCACCTTTCTCAAGAAACCTGTTTAATCTGTAGTTGACAAGCACAGAAACGAGGTTCTGAGAGGCTAAATAACCTGTCCAGGGTCACACAGTGATTTAAATAGAAGAAGTAAGATCCTGACTTCCGAGATTAAACTTTTCTGCAGGAAGAGACTTGATCCTTCTCTCTGATCCTCCACTTCCTTTCTGTTAACTACTCACCCTGTGGGGGTCTCTTTGGGATTAGAGCTAAACTACATGAAGGAGCTGAGCATGGTGCCTGGCATATTTTGGGCTTACTCCAGGAGGTGGTGATCCTTTATGAACTGTACCAGATTTAAATAAAATTAGGCAACTTCAATTGCACAGCATTTTAAATTAATTTTTAATGAGTGCCAGGTCTGTGAGCAGCTACTTTCAAGACCATTTATATAAACACAGATAGATTCTTGAATTATAGTTAAAAAAAAGTATGGACTATAATCAAGGACCGAATTCAATAAATGATCACATTCAAACAATATTAGGCAACATCACCAAGTCAACTTATATATGAACAAAAATTGTTTAATATCGTAAGAATATACTTATGGAAATAGCTTATTGATTTCTTTATCATTTGTAAAATAGATGAAATACTACCAATCTTGTAGAATGCTTGAGAGGATTAAATGAGATAAAGAGCCTGGGACATAGTTAAAAGGGGGTCAGTAATAGAGACCATAGCCACTAGGACTCTTAGTTACAACACCTGAGGCCATATACCTGGCTGGCAGGTAGTAGCTTTTATGATTTGGGGGCATCTACATAAATATCACTGTTTTTCTAAATCAAGTGAGCCAGTCTTGACTCCAGACTTATTCCGGGACTTGATTCCTTGGGCCAGAGTCTTAAAGCACATAAAGTGCATCCATCTAAAGCGTACAATTTGAGTTTTGACAAGAGTGTGCACTTATGTAAATAGCGCCCCAAGCAAGATATAAAACATGTCCATCATCTCAGAATACATTTTGAATTTTAAATTCTTAGAATTTCACCACCTGGTTACAACCTCAGATCACTTGGTCCTACTCCTCATGACATAGAAAAACTCTTTATGCTTAGCTGCACATTCTAAAATGAACGTGCAATTTTTACGTAATATAAAAATGAAAGCAAAGCCTGCCTATTATAAATCCAAGGCTAAAAGATAAACATGTCTGGGTACATTATTTTAGGAAATGTCTTCTATCCATAACTCTAACAATATGCTTTTTGGATCTGCTCATGTTTCCTTAGCACGTGTCCTTGGCACAAAATCCATGGATGATCACCAGTAAGGGACTCTACATTGGAATTTGTATTCCTGCCATGCTATTGCTCATTTTTTTGGTTGCCATAATCACCAAAAGTAAGTCATTTCAGGATTGTACCTAAGGGAACAGAGCAAGGCTTCTAGAGCCAGACTGCCAGGGTTCAAGGGACTCCACATGTCAAGGGCCTTCGATTTCATATAACTTCCCGATTTCTTAACCTTTTTTTAAAACAAAAATTATTGGCCTGCAAAGAGAAAATGGAATTTGAAATCTCCCTAGGAGAAGTTGAATACTAAGAAGTAAGAGTCCATTGAGTCGAGCTGGGATCTGGAAGGCGGCAGACCGTTGTAATACCTATGATACGTTCATTCTTGCTCCTTCCCTCTCCTCAAAAATCCATTTTTGTCTCCATGAGAGATGATGCTGTTGAGGATTGTGCCACACTCATTTAACAAGGAACACAAATGAGGTATCGGGATGGAAACTGATTTCAGGGCTACGTCTGGAACAAAGGGTTTCAAAAGGCAGCCATCTAATGGGTGTAGGTGTGTGTGTGTGTGTGTGTGTGCCCCCTATGAAAGAACCACAATCGTCCATTTAAAAAAACTAAATACAGGGGGTGGGTTTGGGTAAAACAGTGAAGCGAATAAAGAACTACAAATTTAAAATTTAAAATAATTTAGTCACAGGGGTGGAACTCTGCCATAGGAAATATAGCTCATAATATTGTAATATCTTTGTATGGTAATGGATGGTAACTACACTTATCATGGTGAGCATTTAATCATGTATGAAACTGATGAATCACTAAGTTCATCTGAAACAAATATAATATTGTATATAAACTGTATTTCAATAAAAAAATAACTTAAAAAATGAAATATAATTATGAATAACTGCATTAAAGTAAGCCAGGGTGTGTGAGTGATTACATGAAATCATTAATGAAAATGAGATTGTTTATAAAACTGAAGGAACAAAATAGCAGCAGACTCACAAACTCTAAAAGGGACTAGCGATTGCCAAAGGGGAGGGTTAGGGAAGGGTGTGTGGGGAGGGAGGGAGAAGGGGATTGAGGGGTATTATGAGTAGTGCACATGGTGTGTGTGTGGGGTCATGGGGAAGCCAGTGTAGCTCAGAAAAGACAAGTAGTGACTCTGGCATTTTGCTACACTAATGGACAGTGACTGCAATGGGCTATAGGGGGGGACTCGATAATATGGGTGAAGGTAATAACCACATTGTTTTTTATGTGAAACCTTCATAAGAGTGTATATCAATGATACCTTAATAAAAAAATTTTTTTTAAAGAAAACGAGATGCTTTACATTAAAGAGTTTGTTGGGGTCCTATGGATTCGAAAGGAGTTACCTGGTGAGCTCATGAACTTTTTGGCTGACATGTCTAACTTTCTCTTCAACTTCTCCCAAATTTAGAATATTTATGCATAAGAAACAAGCTGGAGCAACTAAAGTAAGTTTGAAAGCATTTGTTGATGACTTTTGATGTTCCTACTCTAGCAAAACAAAAATTTCTCTGCGTCCCTTTCCTCTTCCTGAACTTTCCATTTCCTGGATCCTGAAAAATCTACTGTAATGATTTTGTAATGACACCTGTTGCTGCCCACACCTTCCAATGATATTTTTATTTTTAACTTTCTATATCTTCCTGGAATTGTGCCAGGACTGCTAAAGAAAGAGCACCTCAATCTTAACCTCTTAGAACAAGAGAACTAAATCACTAATTTTGTTTGAAAGAACATTTGAATGACATTTTAGTTTGTTCTTTGATTCCATTCAGCATTTTTTTTATTGAATGCCTACTATATTCCAAAGAGATCCCATTAGGAAGTAGAGCAGTGTAATGGCCTATCTGAGCGAGCCCCGAGAGAGTAGAAGGCAGCTCTGCAAAGCTCTGGAGGAAGACAACTCAGGCTAAGGAAGTACAAAGGCACTGTGGTGGGGGAAATGCCTCTAGTTCTCCCTGGTTCCTGTCATCCTCTATTGTTCATACACAGCCTGCTCTGCTCATTTACATTGGTTATTTGGCTTCCTAGGCATTTGAATTTACAGTTTTTGTAGATCCATCCTACAGCCCAACTAAAACTTAAATCTCCTTTGCTTGTACCCATGCCCTGTGGTCTTTGGCCAGATGGAATACTTGTAATGGTAGGAAATAATTACTTCAAATCCAAGTTGCCTCTTTCATTTGGTCCAGCTTGTGTTTTAAACAAGGGCTTTGTTTAAAAATTCATCTCTCCTCGGCTGCCATCCGTTATTCTTAGTCTCTTTCAGTGGATGTTTGCCCCCAGTCTTTCCTAGGTCTGAGTTCATTACATGAGCCAATCCACTGAATGTGCCTTGAACAGTGCCAAACACATTGTAAGCGCTCTGTAAATGTTACCTTTTGTTACCTCAGCATGCCCTGCATAGCAATACACCTGTGAGGCACTATTATTCTGTTTATGGATTGGAAAACAGGTTTAGAAATGTTAAGTGGACATCCATGGTCACAACACACAGCTGGTAAAAGGCCCAATCTTAGGGCTTTTAAGTCCAAACTTATAAGAGTTTTTGACCATTAGCTTCCAAGAATGAAAGAAAAAAAATACTCCTGATAAGAAAAAAAAAAAACATGGAACATAGCACCGTTTCATTTGATCTCTGTCCTTTCACTAATTTTTAAAGAAAAGGTCTACTTTTTATCATTTATTATAGAAAATCTTGTAAAATATAAAAAGCAAAACAAAAAAAAAACCCCAGAAAAACCTGAGCATTTCCTTATGACTTTTTTTCTTTTTTAAGCAGCTGTCATCACATTGACTCATTTTAAGCTCTTGACACCTAAACTGTTTTCACACATGTATGACTGGTCCATTTAAAGATAAAAGCTGAATGAAGACTCATTATGTTCCATATAATTTCTGGGCAGGCTTAGGTGATAAAAACAGTCACTATATGCAAATTACAAAGCAGCAGCTGTATAAAAAACTTAACACATGACCTTTATATATTCTTGATGTGTGAGTGAATATGTTATAAAAGTTATCTAATCCATTCACATTCTGATCATTAACACACAGTAAGGTTTTTGACATCGTGATCCTGTACACACTTAGGTGAAACAATACTATTTTACTGTATCCAATATGCTCTGATATTTTATATTGTGTGTTTATCTTAAACATAGGATGTAGACCACTAGATAGATTTTTTAACTCTCTCTAAAGGGTTAAAATCCACAGTTGGAAAAACATCAACCAAACAAACCACTTCTTAGCCACCGTTAAGATTATGCATCTTGATTTAATTCTTTAATTTGATGTCTGATATCCATCTTCTTAGATTTTCAATTTTTGTATTCTGTTACATGAGACTCTTGAAGGACATTAGTCTGATTTTTAAAAATACTACCTAGATTTTCTACCTGCTTATTAAGCAGATTTTCCTGCAACTTAATATGCAACTCTGGACGCTTCTATTCATTTCATAGGCTGTGTGAATGGAGCTCCAGGAGTTGCAAATACCCAGTCTTTCCTGAGCATAAACAATCATGCTGCTCATACTTCAGAAGTGGTCTGCTTTTCCCTTACTCATGTTATTCTTTCTGTAGCATGGTTTCATTGAATGACCCTCAGATTGGAGCTTTGCAAGGTACAGCTGAAGTGCGTGTCCGAGCAGAAGACAATATCTACATTATTGAGGACAATGTTTACGTCATGGAGTAAGACCTGGAATGGCCCTATAAGGCCTTATGCCCTTGACTGTGGAAGAGTGACCAGCTATCACCATGTCAGAGGCCTTTGAAGCTCCAGAATGATTTTTCTGTCAATTTCACATGCATTCGAACACACCAACGATGTTGAGTAGAGTGACTCTAGCTCATCTGTGTACAGTCAACCTCACTTGGTAATACAGTCTTAATTTTTTGTACTAAAGTTGGCTCAAACTTTCTGGTCATTGCAGAGCTCTCTCCCAAACATAAAATGAATGCTGTAGACTGTATATTCTCTTTAGATGCTGTGAACCCTGTATCCATCAAGAATTCTTCCTGAGGAGACAGGAAAAGAACTACCTTGGTCACCAAAACTGTCAAGAAAAGTTGAATCAGGACTTAAAATCAGCAAATCTGATTTGGGACTAAAAGTGCTTCACTTGGAAGCATTTCACGATTATCTCTTGTTTTTTTATGTTGTAACGCCAAATGTCACATTTCTTTAGTCCCCCAAAAGTTTCAAATTATGGGGGTGCACAAGTTTTTATTTCCCCCATGAGGAAATAGAAGTGAGTGTGATTTTACCAGTATAGGTACATCTGGTTTCTCATGGCTCTGGAAATAGAAGGTAGTAAGTGCTTTCCCTGGGACTAGGAAGAGTATTTTTGCAGTTAGAAGAAGCTCGGGTAGTGAGTAGACCAAGTAAAGACCAGGGAAAGAAAATTAATTGCCATGTGATTTAACTACTCCTGATGCATGCCACTTCTGTACATCTGTGCCACAGTTCTGGGCACTTACATAGACAACTGTCAGCCTCTCTGAACTAATATTTAAAATGAGGTAGGACAGAAATAAAAGAAAAAAAGAAAGAGAATAAGGAAAAAGGCTTTCTTAGAAGAGTTAGTTTGCAGATACAACAGTATTGATTGAGGGTGTTACTAGTTTCAAATGAAATTCTAAATTGTCCTCAAACCACTTTGATTTTTAAAGGTGTTTTGGAAGGATGAAGGGCTTGTTTTCATATCATATTAATCCCAAAGTTATTCCTTTTCCACGATTCTATTAAATTTTTAGTTTTGCTAAGACAGTTAAACAAAAGTTAAAGCTGAAGATATTTTTGGTCACTAGAAGCATTTCTACATGAACAGTTAACAAGGCTGGGTATTAATTTCAACATGAGTACACCCACTCTGAAATAACTCAGGCTTGAGGTTCAGAGCTACTCACACCCCAGTGGTCTAAGAGGGCAGGATGTTTGTTTTCTAAGGCAACATTTTTTGACACTGTTCTGCAGAGTTCTGTGAAATTAATAGGACCTCTGAATGAAGGTTATATGGGTAAATGAAATTGTTAATCCTTCTATACCGGGTTTCTGAAATGGAGCCTGCCTGATCTGGTCTAAAAAATTCAAAACAACATGTATAAATCTGGATATTTTAGACTAAAGCCCAGATTTGTGCCTTTTCTGGAAAGACCCTGTAACATTGGACTGCAAGTCCTATCGGGACTTCATTAGATCACATTCCTTCAGTCCCACAGTCCTTGCCTTCCCTGCATGCTCATGTTTGTTACCTGGTTTCTGACTGGGGTTTTGGATTTATGATGCTTGCTCTATATTCCATATCCTTCCTGGAGATTTTTGATGGCACACTACAGGCCCTGGGAGTTTGCTTAGCTTTGCTTGAAAAACTTGTTTGAACCTCATGAGCACAATGACTCCTGGCATGCCTAGTAGCACCCTGTGAAACAGTACGTGGAGGCATGGGGAAAGGGGGACATAGGATTTGGAATAGGACCTACGTTCTAATCTTAACTCTGAGCAGTAACACTGGATGACATTAGGGCATATGTTTGTTTATGCCTAAATGTTTTAATCTATTAGAGAAAATTACTTCCATACTTACATCAGTGTATAGTGGTAATTCTTATAGCATGTTGCTTGTGAAAAGTGTTTAAAAAGTGAAAAACACTACAGAAATGCAAAAGTTTTATTCTTTTGGTGGACTTTATAGTAATAACAGATCTAGCATTAGTGCTCAATACATTTCAGTGGTGTTGCACTTGTCTCTTGCTATATGGTACTTATTTTTGTTTTGAATTGCTTGTTTTTTTTAAAGGTATTGGCTAAATTTAGCCATAATTTTATATTGTAGAAAAAATTGTCAGTACCCAAGAGGGTGATGGGTAAGAGGGAAGGAAGAGGAGGTATTTAGTTAATATTAAATTCTTTTCTGTAAATACATCAATCTTGTAGCATGCACCGAGTTTTTTCTTTGATTCTTCAAGACAATTGAGATTCTGTTTTCTACAATCTATCTGGGGCATTTGGACACTGGTATAATTAAGACCTTATGTTTAAACTTAGGAAAGTTTGCACATTTTTAAGAAGGAGCAAAACCAGTTTTTCACAGATGGCTGTGAAGATAATTTTGTGAGCACATGAAAGTGTGAGAGACTCTTGTGGCTAGTTTCATTTGCATGTACACTCAAGAATAAAAGAGATTTTTGTTTTTATTTTGAAAATTGAATTGTTTTCTCAGGCTCATTAGTTAGTCAGGGCCAGGCATCTTCAACTTGCTGTCGACTCACAGGACAAGGACAAGTGGGGCAAGATCTGAGAGTCAAGTGTGCCCAGCATTCCTTTAGTGCTGGGGAGATCAGAGAACAACCTTGAACTCCAGTTCTCAAGGACCTCAGTAGAGTGGGGAAGAAACCCCCAAACCGTTGATTCTGGAGCTGATCAAAGCTAAGGAATAAAAGAATGTGTGATAGAGCTGGGCTTCTCAACTGTGACATTTGGGGCCAGATAACCCTTTTGCTGGGGGACTGTCCTGTGCATGGTGGAGTGTTTGGAAGCATCCCTGGCCTCTACTCACTAGAGGACAGTTGTGTCTTTCCAGCTGTGACAAGTGCAGATGTCTTCAGATACTACCAAATGTCTCCTGAGAGGCAATATCACCTCTGGGTGAAAAAGCTGAGACAGAGGATGCCTGGAGGGTGTGGGGGTTGCTATAGCTTCGGCTGGGTTGGACTGGAGAAGCCTCTAGTAAAGTGGTGACATTTTAGTTGAAACCAAATAAATGTGTAGGCAGCAGCCACTTGAGGGAATCCACCAGACACAAAGGCCCTGGGGCAGGAGACAGCTTGTGCTCTCAGAGGGAGAGAGGAAGGTGTGTTCCAAGGATGGTAAAAAGCTGGTGTGGCTGCAGCGGAGTGAGCAGAGTGAGTGAGGAGGATCAGAAAGAAATGGAGCTGGAGAAATGGGCATCTCTCACGGTGCTGGATGAAAAGGCCTCTATATAAACATGTATTTTAATAGCCCCATTCTTGGAAAGAAAACAAAGCACTTTTGCATAATAAGGGTTAAACTTGCTATCCATCACCAAATTTTATTTTCACATTTATTAAAGTGCTTCAGTGACACTGTTCTCAGTGGTTTGGCTGGGGTGGCATAAGAGGGTATGTAGGGGAAGGAGCAGAGGAAAAGGTTACATCTTGGCAGCGAGAGGCTTTCTGCAGGGCTGTATGAAGGCACCCAGGCCTAGGAAGAGGGGCCCTGGAAGAAGAGGGACAGGGTTCCAAAGTTTGGCTCTGCTCACACTGGACCCAGAGGCCACTACACCCCCTCTTCTGGACACAGCTTTGTGTAGTGGAGTGGCACAGGGGCTGCCTTCAGTTGGGTCACAATGGATTTCCAAAATAGTTATGTTTTGATGTGCACTTCTAGAAAGCAGTGCATCAGAGCCATGACTTAATGGATATTGTTTAGGATAACTACATTTATAAAGTTAACCTAAAGCAACTTGCATGAGCTAGAGCAAAAAGGCCATGAGTATGGCAAAGGTGGTATACATACTGCAAGTCAGGAGGTAAACGATTAGGTCTGCTGGAAGTTTTTTAAAATGCAGATTCCTGGGCCCTACTCCTACAGATTGTGATTTGCAAGATAGGTGGGAGCTAATAATTTCTTTTAAAATTACAGAAGATTAGCTTATTTTTAATTTCAAACTAAACACTCCAATTTCATGAAAGAATACATAAAAATATGATTTCATTTAAGAATATGTTAAAAAATATATGCAATAATCCTTCATTTCTGCTTTTTTCAGAAGTAAATCACAGGTAACAAACAAAAACTTTGTATTTCGAGTGGTTAGGTATTGCAATGCCAATTTTGAGGATTAAAAAAAGTCCTTGCTCAATGTCCCCCAAAATATAGCAGAACCCTAAGAAACGCAGGGAAAGCATAATTACCGTCCAGATTTCATAGCCTAGTTTGTGCAGAAATGTCTCTTCTAGCTTCATAGTGTTCTCTGGGGGGAAAGGAATAGCAATCGATCATTTGTGCTCCCTCTAATGGGGTCTTTATTTAGTCAATTGATTGTGAACAGCTTCAGGAAGTTTCAGGATAAACATCCTCCCAGGACTTTGTTTCTTCTTTTCTTGATCAGATTAGATAATTTGAGGAAAGAGAAAGTCATTGATCCACCCACTGTGAAGGTAGTGAAAGCCAACAGGAAATAAGGCGGTGCCTTTAGCAGCCTTGGTGTAGAATCTGAGTGTGGCGGATGTGGGGCTGTGGGAGAAAGAATCCAGCACTCAGGACTCCCGAAAGCCTAACGGTAAAGTCCCCTGGGGGCATTCCCAAGGCCCCTAAGGGCCTTTACAACTCTGACTCAGGCTCTGTGAAGGCCAGTAGTGCCTTTCTGCTGTCTGCTCGTCCTTCCTCCACAGGGCCACCTGTATAATCTGAAAGCTGTGATCTGATTGTGGACGTGTTGGCTGAAAACCCTGCCGCTGCTCCCCAGTGGGTAGAAATCCCCGCTCCGTGGTGAGCCTTTTGCCACTGCTCCCTTGCCTGCTCCCCAAAACCTCTCGCTGCTGTGCTCCTGTGGGTCTGAACGCCTCGGATACTCACTCTCCACTCCGAAGGCCAGCCCATCTCCAGGAATTGTCTCCTCTCTCCACTGGGCACGTCATTCCTCAAGGCTCAGCTCTTAAACCTTTTTGGACCTCATTTCCTTACAGAGAATGAATCCCCACTTATGAACACTGTGCAGCCCTTCTCAGTCACTCAGTGACGAGTACAGAGTGCCCCCAATATGCAGGTCATCCTGCCTGAGGCCAGGGTCCCCCTAGCATACGTGACTTACCCTCTCCTGCGCCAGGGCAGAGACTTGCCAAATGGAATCTGTACAAACAAACTACAGTTATAAATAGTGACCCCGTAACTTAGTCCTTTGTATTAGAGAAGTTTAGGTCTATGAAGCTTTTTATACTGAGCACCTGGGGGAAATGTCTAGTTTCTCAGCACCTAGCTTACAAACATCAGATGCTCCATTTATACCTATGAAAATTAGTAAAAAATTGACTAAAGGAATGTTACCTACAACCTTTGGTTGCTCGGGAGTGGGTGTGGTGGGGAAGGGGTCTTAAAACTCTTTGGTAAGACAGAAACAACTCTCTTCAAATGACTGGCTGGGGTGTAGGAGTCTGTATGAACCTCAAGGACTCTCTGACACTGGCAATGTGCAACCTTGGCTACACATTACAATCACCTGGGGAGCTTGGCCAACTACCCATGCCTGGACAGATTGAATCAGACTCTCAGGAGGTGGATCCCAGGTAACAATTGGTTTTTCAGTCTCCCCAGGGGATTTCAGATTTCAATGTGCAGCTGAGGTTGAGAACCATTGACCTAGAGAGATGGGGAGGGAAAATGACAGCATGTTTTCTTGTTCTGTGTGACAAGTACTCTGGAAAAGCATGAAAAATACAAACTAAAACAGGGAAATATCAACAATGGTCTGGGACACGTGAACAATCTGGCTGCCATGTTGACAGCATTATACTGGCGGCAGCCCTGGGAACAAGAAGTGTGGAGGCTGCCATGCTTCTGTAAAGCTTCTCAGGAAGTTGGTGCACAGCTGTCTAGCTGACTGTCCCTGAGCCTCCTAAGAATGAAATGTTTTCTTCCACAAGCTGTAACAATAAGCCAAGAAGAAGTCCCCTTTGGCCGGTAAAGAACTGCTCTATGGTAACCTTTTCTCTTTTGTACTGTGGATTGCTGAGATGGGGTTTGCTTTGTCTGGCAGTTCTTGCACCTGCTTTCATCTAAAAAATACTAGAATTATGACTGATTCACACATTTCTCAATAGGCTTTATTTTTTAAGAGCAGCTTTAGTTTCACAGTAAAATTGAGCAGAGAGTAGAGTTCCCATATAACCACCCTCCTCTCCCCAAAACACAGAGCCTCCTTCACCATCAACATCTCTCCCAAGTGTAGTAAGTGTGCTTGCAATTAAACTGATGTTTACACATCATTATCAGCTAAAGTCCATAGTTTACATTAGGGTTCATGCTTTGCATTGTGCATTCTACAGGTTTTGACAAATGTATAACATGTGTTCATCATTATAATAACATACAAAATAGTGTTACTGCCCTAAAAAACCCTTAGGCTTCACCTGTTTGTCTCTCCCTCCTCTCAAGCTGTGACAACCACTAATCTTTTACCTTTTCCAGTGTCTCATATAACCAGGATAATACAATATGTAGCCTTTCCAGATTGACTTCCTTTAAATAGCAATATGAATTTAAGGTACCTCTATTTCTTTTGGTGGCTTCATTGCTAATTTCTTTTTATTGTGGGATAATATTTCATATATGGATATACCACAATTTGTTTATTCATAGACTTACTGAAGGACATCTTGGTTGTTTCCAAGTTTTAGCAATTGTGAATAAGGTTTATGAAAAACATTAAAATATGTTATGAAAATTCATGTGCAGGTTAAGGAGTGTGATAATGGATTGTATGGTGAGAGTATGTTAAGTTTTGGAAGAAACTACTAGCCTATCTTTTTTTTATTAATTTATTTTTTATTTGGTATTATTAATGTACAATTACATGAGCAACATTATGGTTACTAGACTCCACCTACTATCAAGTCCCCACCACATACCCCATTACAGTCACTGTCCATGAGTGTAGTAAGATGCTATAGAGTCACTACTTGTCTTTTCTGTGCTATACTGCCTTCTTCGTGTCCCCCTGCCCGGCTACATTATGTGTGCTGATGGTAATACCCCCTTTTCCCTCTTATCCCTCCTTTCCCACCCATCTTCCCCAATCCCTTTCCCTTAGGTAATTCTTAGTCCATTCTTGGGTTCTGTGGGTCTGTACTAGCCTGTCTTTTAAAGTGACTTTACTGTTTTGTATTCCCATCAGTAATGAATGAGAGTTCCTGTTGCTCCTCATCCTTGTCAGCATTTGGTGTTGGATTTTTAACCATTCTAGTAGGTGTGTAGTGGTATCTTATTGTTTTAATTAGTGTTCTCTAATAACATGATGTTGAACATGTTTTGGTATATTTCATATATCTATATTTTGTTTGGTGAGGTGTCTGTTAGCAACTTTTGACCATTTTTTAATCAGGGTGTTCATTTTCTTAATGTTGAATTTTAAGAGTTATTTATTTTGCATAGCAGTATATTATCAGGTATGTCTTTTGCAAATATTTTCTC